AGAAAGCACAAATTCAATATCTGACCACAATAGGAAACAAGTTCAAAAATTTTTATTTACAGAATCTGGGCAAAGAGGGTGCATTGAATCAGGAAGGTAGTCCTCTCTATCCCTGAGTCATGCAAGGCAGAAATGAAAAGTCAGGCAGAGAGAGAGAGGCAACTAGCAATGTATCTAAGGGAATAGTGTGTGGGTCACTAAGTTTCAGGCAAATGCCTGAATGGTCCCTTTACAGGAAGCTGCAGGAAATTGAGGAACGCAGTCTGTCTACTAGGCAAAGAGATGCCTCTAAGTCATTATTTCTGGCCCCAGCTTGAGCAATTAGGTGTGGAATAGAACTGGAAACTGTGCCAAGGATGACTGAGCCCTGCTTCTGGCGTGAAAAAGTTAAATTTTATTCAGTATGGATACTGAAGCAACATTAAATTATAAGAATTCACTATATCTTTACTACATTGTTTAGCAAGGAGCCTGGCCATACTAGTAGCTTAATAAATATTGGTTGAAAAAACATATGAATGAATAAAAGAAGGGTATATCCAAATATGTGGACAAAATAAAGATGAGGGGGCCTGTGGAAAACATACATATGGGTGTTGAGATAGACATGGATTCCAGACAGATCCATGTATAACATTAGCATGTGTGCACATATCAACAGCACATGTTAGCTACCACCTGCTTTTAGATTTTCTTGACAAAATCTTGGAGATGGAACTCCTCTTACCAGAGTTTCCTTGAGACTTTCCACTAAGAATTTTCTGCCAATATAGAAGTAAAAGAAGGGACAGGGACATGATTTTACATTCTTCTCTGTAATTTTCTTACTGTACTTGATGTATTGGCTCTGTATTAGTACTTGGTTAATATACTATTCACCAAGACAGTTGCCACTTTTAGATATAATTTTTCTCCTGGTAGCTATATCTTAAGACAAAGCACTTGAATGAATACACATTTTTGTGTTTGCCTATGTGAAAATAGGCCAAACTTTCAAAATGGGGACATATTGGGGTTCCCCAAACCCCCCCTCAGTTTTGATGATTTGCTAAAAGAATTCAAGAACTCAGAAAAGTTGTTATACTCATGATTGTAGTTTATTACAGTGAAAGAATACAGATTAAAATCAGCAAAGGAAAAAGATGTATAGGGTGGAGTTCAAGAGAAACCAGGCACAAGCCTCTGGCATCTTCTCCCACTAAGGTTGCATGGACAGTGCTTAATTCTGTCCACAATGATGTGTAACAACACATGCAAAGTGTCATCAACCAGAGAAGCTCACCCGAGCCTTGCTGTCCAGGGTTTTTTACTAGGAGTCGAGTCACTCATGTAGACATGAAGCACCTACCCATTGACCTCACCTACTCAGACCCCAGCCCCCAAAAGGTCACACTAATGACCCAATGTTGCACTCTCTTTGTTCTCACATGGATTTGCCACCTCGCTCCCCTGGGTGATGGAGACGCAAAGGATTACTCAAAGCCTATTTCCTCTGAGCAGTGAGGCACCCCAAAGGGGTTAACTTCCCAGAACCCTCAAGAGAGAGACATTCCTCCTTTGGGAAATTAACCACGAACTGGGGTTCTCTCCCTGTATTTATTCTCCAGACCAGGAAGTTACAGAAAAGGAACATAAGTGGATTTATGGCTAAGTATAGTTTAACAACAGAAGCTGGTAACATGAGTGAAATAACAAAGTGGCATTCCATAATGCAATTTGCAAAAAGTTAAGTTGATCCAATAACAAAAGCTTGTTCTTAACAAATACTGTGTTTTCTTACAGCAGTTTCTTCAGTATTTTTCCATAACAATAAAGCATCTTTCTTAACATATTAATCAGCATATTAATCAGGTTAACCTGCTCTCAAGGACGTCTGTCATTGAGAGCCAGAAACTTTGCTGTGTTACAATTCTATATCCACAACAGAGACTTTTGCCTGGGGAAAGTTTCTTGTCTTTTGCAAGGTTAACATTTTTATATGGAATTTTAAAAGGTTAGGTTATACCTGAAATTACAGGGCTTTGGAAACTAGGCCCTGTGAAATACATTTGCTTTATAAATGTTAGTATACTCCACAATCCAAAGCCCCAGGCATACAAAAATAGGTATTAACCATAAATCACATTGTTAGCATTAACTATCTGGTGTAGCCCAAGGTCTCAGTTATACAAAGACACTCTTATCAGGTAGGATATTTCAAGGACTCAAAAGTTATCTCCCAAGTGCTGGTCAATGGTCAGTCCTTTTCTTCTAAGGTGAAATATAGATTTTTATTAAGGAACACTAAAGAGTCACAGCAGTGAAATAAAATAATAGTAAAAAGTAGATCCTTAATATATTTTAAAATAATAATATTTTTTTAAATGACATTCTTATTTCAGACTGTGGTTTTCTTCCAAGATAATGATAATGATGTGTATAATTTATTATACATACTAATCTCTAGTTCCCATTCTTTAGATCAGGAGGGTTGAGAAAGGAGGGGGTATTTGGGGGGGGGAAGGGCATCTGAAGTTAACAGAAACTGGGGATATAATCCACTTAAAGGCTCAGAGTCAGAGAGATAGGAGGGTCAAAAAACTATCACTTTACAAATAAGCAACTAAGACTTAAGGAGAAGTCTGTAGTGGTGCAGTTCCTTAGTGGAAAGATCACCCTTCAGGCTCACCATAGTCTTAGGCCTACTAGAGATTTGATAGAAAAGCTAAGTGAGGTCCCGGAAGACAGAGCTAGGGTCATAAGCTTTTGTATCTAAATCTAGAACCTCAAATTCAACCATCAATGAAAAAAATTCCATCTCATATCTAGACAATAAGAACTAACATAACCTGGGGGAAAAGAAAAGGAATGCCCAATTGAATTTCTGGTGTAAGATGTTGACTGCCAAGGAATACATCAGTAAAGCTTGTCAAATGCATGAATGAGTGACTGAATGATACTCAAGGGAGTGACCTCATTGATTCCAAAGCCCCAAACTCAGTAATGAACTGAGGGACTGGGATGCCATTGCTGAAATTAAAACTCATGGGGAATGGGTGCGACAAGCTCCACAGTTCTCTGTAAGTCTCCACTTGCAGTTGTGAACATTTCAGAACACTTGCTTGCATTTACACACAGACTGTTTCTTTAGGTAATTCCTACACGGGAGGTCAGAGCCAGAAAACCAGGAGGTCTGAAAACAGGCCCTGCTCACTGATTAGCCTTTGCATTTAAAAAAAGAAAGAAACTATCACAATAAAGGTCATGCCCATTCTGGAGGTTTCCCTGTGCTCAGCTTTCCCTGCTACCTGATATAAAGTTGGATTAGGGTTCTCTGGCAGGAAAATGACTTTTGGCTAGAACCTTCTTTAATATAGCATCGTACAGAGTAAAAATTCCAAAACTGATTTAACTACATTTTCTTCTTGGAGCTACACAGGATCATCTAATTGCAATATGGAAGTTGAACTTTGATGAAAAACCAATTTATTTATAAGTGACTCAGAGTTATGGTTATTTAGACAATGGTAGTCACAGTAGAGATCTTAGCACTTAATGTTTATTCTGCTATGTTGTTAAATGAGGTTGTGAGTGTGGTCAAGAGGGCTGCAAAAGCTCCCACAAAGAAAACCTGAATAATGCAACTATTTATGAAGCATTTTCATTTATCTGGCAAATACTGTTTTTGTTTTGGCAAATACTCCTTTTTCTCTTCTCAGACCTTCTGTTTCTAGTCCTCTTTGTGGTATTATCATCTGAATGAGTCATTCATTCCTAGCTGACATCATAGCAATCCTCTGAATTTTGTGTTTCCAATGCTGGAGGTACTTTGCAAGTTTTACTTTTTGACTCTGCTGCTAATATTTACAGGAACTTTTCTCTCCACAGGTTGGACCTGGTTCCACTTGTGTTGTCTTTGGCCTGGGAGGAGTTGGTCTATCTGTCATCGTGGGCTGCAAGTCAGCTGGTGCATCCAGGATCATTGGGATTGACATCAACAAAGACAAATTTGAGAAGGCCATGGCTCTAGGAGCCACCGAGTGTATCAGCCCCAAGGATTTTACCAAGCCCATCAGTGAGGTGCTGTCAGAAATGACGGGCAACACTGTGGAGTACACTTTTGAAGTTATTGGGCGTCTTGAAACCATGGTAAGAACCAAGATTCAAGGAGACAAAAAAATACCCAAACTATTAGATATGCACGAGGTAAAATTCATTTTCTGTAGCTTTATTAACAATCAACTATGGAAATATCTGTTACTCAGGCAAAAACTGGTAATCACATAGCAATTTTGCCTAAAATGTCAAAAGCTTAAGAGCAGGGTCTACCTGACCAACATTAAGTATCATATCACACAATGCTTGTGTGACTACAGGATGAGGTAGTCAATCCTCTAAATAATTTTTTATAAGTATTCTCTTCTTTGTATATGTGAATTTCTTGACAAAGGTAATTCCATCTCTTGAACTTAGGCAGGCCAAGCATCACAACATAACTCCCTGAGGAGAGATAGGGAAGAGATCTAAGAGAAAAAGGGATTGTTCCAAGTGTTGCTGTCTCTTCCCCCAAATCCATGATCTATCCAACTTCTCACCATTTGCACCTGAGCTTTGTTTTCCCTCATCTGAATTTCCTTAGAATATGAGCTTTCAACTTTCTAAACATGTCTCCTTTGTGGCAGCCAGCAGCACCCATTTAGATCTGTGAAACAGCTCCAGAGCTCCTAGAATTAGAAAGCCCTGGCCTGGTGTAGGATAAGGACACTTGAAAAAATGGGACAGTGCAATTTTGCTCAAGTATAAGTAGCAGATCAAATTCACTTTAATGTTTTGGGTAATTGAGGAATAACTAGCTTTTAATTTACCATTGTTGCCATACCCTTTTCTTAGTGTCATTTAGAATTATTCCGTAGCAACAAGTACTATTCTAGGTTGTGCGTTTATGGAGCCGTATGCAATATTGGATTTATTACTAAGGTCTATTAATTTCCATATGATACTTGGATGAGGATTGGTCTTTGAAAAATGTCAACATCTATTACTACAATCTAGCAAGTATTAAAAAAATTATTAATGATTAACTGAATGAACTAATGACCAGAAAATGTGAAGTTAGTCTCAGAAATGCTACCAAAAAGAGGGACTCCTTTGTCCCACACTTTAGTATTTTATTTAATTTTCAAACTAAATTTTTTAAAAACTGTGTTAATCGATCTGGTATAGTTAATTCAATTTAGTTTAGTTCAAATGACTTCCTAAGACTTATCTGATGTGATGACATTGGTATGAAAATATTACAAGAATTTCCCCTGTGTTTTAGTCCATGGTACACTGAAAATGACACAAACGCTGACCACAATAATTACTGCTTTCTTCCTGAAAGGGAAAAATGTGTGTAGAAGTTTACTTAAGGACTAAAGTTGCATTGAGAACTTTTAAAACCAAGTAAAAAACCAAAGGTGTGTGTGCCTAATTTAATTTTATGACTTGAAAATTGAGCTATCTATTGAAACGGCAATAGTATGCAGGTCATTTCTGAGTCCTTGAGATACTATAAAAGACATGACAACAAACACTCTTCTTCATTTTAAACTTAGATCGATGCCCTCGCATCCTGCCATGCGAACTATGGGACCAGCGTGGTGGTCGGTGCTCCTCCGTCAGCCAAGCTGCTCACCTATGACCCAATGCTGCTCTTCACTGGACGCACATGGAAGGGATGCATCTTTGGAGGTGAGGGCAGCAGACCTTCTGGACCGGGGGTGGTGGCTTTTGCTCTGTTGCTTTGGCAAGTGAGAGAAGCCTATGCCTCATCACATCTCCCATAAAGGTCTTCCTTCCAAGGACAAGTGTGAAGTGATCTAAAATGGAACTGTGATCACAATAACATAGAAGATAATTACCCACTCCTCACCTTGATTTAGGGCTAATATTGGTGGGCACATCTTTAATACCATCTGCAACTCAAGTTCCCCAAAGGCCTGAATAAGAAGCACCAGTAATCTCTCTATTGGGATGATTTATGTGACTGAAAGTTCTTTTAATCTGTTATTCTCAATATACACAAGAATGTGTATGAAAAATATAATTTATTCAGTTCACAACAGCATCAGCAAAAATTCTGGACCCAAAGCCAAAATAAACAGACAAGGCATTGACATATTTTATGGGGACAGTTCAGAGTCACACGGGAATGATTGAGAAAGCAGTAAACACAGAGCCAGAACCACCACCCCCAAGGCAGGTGACACAGTGAATCTTGTTAATCCTCTCCTGCATGGAGTCTCATTTTCTAGTGCCTTCATATGGAGTTGTACTAGGCACTTTGGAAGCACTTCCACTATTAGAGTCTGCCTTGTACGGCATAAGAGAATATTAATCATTCACGTACTGGTTAAGAGTATAAAAAGGTAAAAATGATTGTTCTTGACTTGGAGAAGTATATAATCTAGTGGAAAATAAAAAACAAATATAAAATAAACAATATAAAATAAATAGATATTATAAAACAAATTACAAGAGGAGTTATTTGGCATTTATTATATGTTAAAACTTTTACGTAAAAGTGT